CAGGGCCCCGGTGGGGGTCCAGGGAGCGAAGCCCCTTGGAAGCCACGGATATTTGATGAATTATGGCGAATTTTTCTTACTTATTTGATAGGCATCGAGTTACTATACGACTTCATGTAGGCTATACTTTCTAATGTTGAAATCAGCTTCCAAAACCTAAACATTTTGAATAAAACAAGAAACAAAGAGTATGCAATGTAACCATCTAATTTATTTTCAAATCCTCATTCTTGAAATTGAAAGTGAAATTCGGAAATTTTGCATGAAATCTGTCAACCACGCTGTCAATGTCGAGGACGAGGTTGCTTCACCTATCACGATGTACTCCAACATGATGAGGCTATCTAAATGAGCATTTGTCATAACAGAACCCAAATTATTTTTAATTAGTCTCATTGAATTATTATTTTTATTATTATTATTATTATTATTATAATTATTATTATTATTATGATTATTATTGTTATGGCATGTTATTTTTGTTGTGATGAAAAGTTAACACAATGTGGCTAAACGAATATTACATGTAACTTTTTTGTCTGTTTGTTCCCCGACGCAATTTATTGTCTTCCCCGACCGGGGGGGGAGTATGCCTCCCTGACAGGGGGGGGATATAGTTCCCCAGTCCCCTCTGGCGCCAACACTGCTCTGCCCCCAGAGCCAGTACGCGATTTTTTTTCCGTACGAAACATTTACATGAAACTTCACTCGGGCCATCTCGGATTGACTCGAGTGAGTACGATACGAGGAACAAGATCAGACACTTCGCAATGTCGTGACGCTCGAGTTTTACTATTACTGTATTGCTCTTTCTATGTTTACCTACGGTAGGCCTATGAAATCTCACGGACTTATGGGATGTACGTATGTAACTAACTGTGACCTTCTTGGATGTTATTAAATGTTAGTATATTATCTACAACAACAACAGCTAGTACTTCCTGTTATAAAGTGTAGTAAGGTACAGTAATACCAAAGGCTAGAGAGAATTAAAGAGGCCTAACAGGCTGAGATCTTACCTAGGCCCCTCATAGGCTGACACCAACATACTGACATTGACTGAAATTTTTTGGGGAAAAAATAGGACAAAATTGAAGCATGAAATAAAAAATAGAGCGCATAAGAGAAATATTATTAAATAAATAATATACCATTCCGGCGTTATTGAACTTGTAAAAACTATCATTGTAATGTAATTAATGTTAAATAATAATAATAATCATTTCAGCATTAATTACCTTGGCCTAAGCCTTATAATGAAGAACCTACAGATACCTTACTATTTACTAAGCCTATAAATAATAATCGCCCAAGGGGAATATCTTTTGTGTTATTTCCCCTTAACGTCGTTTTTTTAATTGTTCTCTAATTCCTCCATTGTTTAAGTTCCCCTTAAGGTACAGGTAATAATAATTAATAATAATAATAATAATAATGATAATGATAATAATGATAATAATAATAATAATAATAATAATAATAATAATAATAATAATAATAATAATAATAATAATTATTATTATTATTATTTCAGCATTAATTACCTTGGCCTAAGGCTTGCGAAGAATCTACAGATACTATTTACTAGACCTATAAATAATAACTAGCCCAAGGGGAATATCTTTTGTGTACTTCCTCTTAACGTCGTTTTTTAAATTGTTCTCTAATTCCTCCATTGTCTAAGTTCCCCTTAACGTACAGGTAATAATAATTAATAAAAAATAATAACAATAATAATAATAATAATCATTTCGGCATTACATGTAATTAACTTGGTCTA